GCTCTACTTGGCTAATTCTGAGGGCTCTAAGTGGTTGTGGAGGAGGACGAGCGGTAGTGATAGTAGCACTTGGGGGGTTTACGGTAAGAGCTGGATGAAGTTATCATTGGTCGCGCATGTTCCTAATGGATGCAAGCAGTGAGTGATTAGGTAGTATATCGGTTACAGTTGACTTGGCTGAGATGTTCGAAAGGCCATTGTGGAGTTATGGCCACCTCGAGGAAGGAAAACGTCTTCAATAACTTCACCAAGAAATTTCTCAAATTTCCTCGCATAGTTCAGGGGTTTCCTCACTCATTATCGAAGTTTGTATAGGAATTAGGGTAGGAGTGATCGAGAATCAACAAGAATTTCCTAAAATTTTCTCACAATTTTCGTGTTGTCAGCGACACATGTAGTTGATCATGCACATATTTCCCCTTGACACTGTCGTTTTTACTTCGACCGCGATGTCGGGATAGTTTCTATTGATGAGGCGAATCAAAGCCTCATAAAACCATCTGCTGCCAAGTGGGCTGAAGTGGAGGCCATCTCTCAAGAAGGATCGCCAAGCCGCGTCCTTCTGCATTTCATCAAAGATGTTCAAAACCGGTATCTGATTGCAATACAACAACAACAGCAATTAAGAACCCCAAAGGACTTCTACAACTGCCTTACTTGCTTTGCCTCACCCACTTCGAGGACCGCTCTCGCGTACTCTCCTGTGGATTGCAGCCTACGATTGGGCAGGTCTGGAGCTGATGCACCGAATCGGGCCTTTCCATCAGCGACTATTGCCTCCCCATCAATGGGAGGGGGTGTTACTGTGTTAAAGTTTCCTCATGTGAAGTCGTTAGTGGATGATGTGTTTGTGCTATAATTCAATGGCGCGCGAGAAGTTTATGCAACCAGAAGGGCTTGTTTTATGTCATCCCTTCATAATTACTATAGAACGTTGAACGTGGCCAAGGATGCGAGCAAGCCGGCAATACGGAAGGCTTACCTGACCCTAGCTAAGAAATACCATCCCGATGTGAACAAGGCACCGAATGGTGATGAATCCGGCGAATGAACTCGATCAAGATTTATGGTTTTTAGCTGACAAGCTCTTCCAGGAGATTCAGGAGGCATACAGCGTGCTGTCTGACGATGGCCAACGGCATAAGTAATGAGGTGTGGAGTAGAATTGTAGACGAGTTGCGACTGGAGTGGTATGAAATACCTCAGATACGATGAGAAATTACGAGCGGCAGAGGGTCCTTCATCGACATCCTCGTCGTCGTCCTCAGCTGGTGGTCAGTTCTACAATCGACCTCGTGA